CTCACATTATGAGGTACTGGAACCTACCACATCCCAAATTAACCTTTCAGAAATTCTGTTTAACCAATATAGGTATAATCCTACCATAACCACATTAAAACAGTTAACAGTCAATATCTGAGGAACATATACAATTTGATGAATATCAAGATAAAAAGATTATTGCCTTCTGGGAGATTAAAGCTATTAGCTGATTTTTCTCCATTACTAAAATGCTGCAAGTTTTGTGATCCAGCTATTTGAGTGAAAAAAATAGTTCACACTGGGTGTAGTGGCACATGCTTGTAATACCAGCATTTGGAGGCCAAGGCAGGGGATGATTCGAGGATACCTTGTGCTTTATATATTAAGTGTATCTAAAAACAAAAAATAGCTGGGCATGGTGGTGCAGGCCTGAAATCCTAGCCCTCAGAAGGTCAAGGTAGGATCACTGAATCTGAGTCAGCCTGAATTACATAGTGAGACCCTTGACTAAAAAAACAGCAAAATAAATATAATCTATGCTTGGGAGCCAAAGCTGTCTTGATATGTGGTAACATTTGACTTGCAAGAATAACATTCAGAACTTACTTATCACTGCTAACGTTGCAGCTCATTTTTTCTGCAGTGAGTGTATTATAACCTTTACCAGTTTCCATCATGATAAATAGTGGTAGTATGAAATAAGCAGAATAGTGAAGATAAAAGCTATGAAATGACAGAGGTCACAGAATAATGTATGTTAGCAACAATTAAAAACATGTCTTACTTTGAGTTTTGCAGTACTGGGGATCAAACCCAAGCCCTTGGACATGCTGGGCAGTGGTTTACTATTAAGCTAAATTCCTACCCCATAACCCCATATTTGAAAGGGGCTGGTTACATAGGGAATTTATTACATAGTTCTTAACTCTGAAGCTACTGAAACCCCCAAAGATAGCTCTTTTTTTTTTTTGGTCGACAGTTTCTGTTGTTAGGAGCACTTTCTTTTTAGGCACAGGAACAAAGGTAATCTTACAAGGTTTTTTGTTTTTAAAAACTAAGTGAGAAAATGGACCTCTTAACATCTGGAGATAGTGGGAATTTCAATTGCTTTGAATGCTTAGGGATACATTTTGTCTTTCATAAAACAACATAGGCCATATGGCTTTCTGTTAATGATGAAAACTGACTACTTTTAGAATCCTTATGCACGTGAGTTAAGAAACCTGAATTTAAATGGTAATGTTTTTGAATTTGTAGGGCAAGTTTTTTCATAATAATTCCAAAATTATTTTACTAAATATTTCTGAGAACTATTGTATTGAATTTTATTTTCTTACAGGTGGAACCAACTTTCTAAATTAAAATCAGCTTTTTTTTTTGGTACTGGGGATTGAACTCATGACCTCATGCTTAACTAGGCAAGTGCTTGAGCCATTGAGCTAAATCCCCAGCCCCCAAATCAGCTTTTTAGTGAATGTAAGAGTGATTTTAAGTACTTGGTAGCAACCTAACTAGTGGAATTAGAATTAAGATGCTGGTATTAGTGATGGTCACTATTTTGAACCAACCTACCCAGTCACATGGTTTTGTGCTGTATCATACTGCTTTAATTTTTGTATTTTTGGAAATAGGTAAGATGAAAGCTTTTCTAAAATATTTTCAGAAATTACTGAAGTGAATATACTTGAAATGATAAATACTACTTCTGTGAAGAGAGACCACTGTCTAGTTAATATAAGAATAAGATGGAGTCTTAAGCAGTAACAGTGGATAACTATCACTTCTCCAGTATATTTGTCAACTGGTATGAGCACATCAGTTATCAAGCAATAATAATTATACTTTTTGAAATTATGAACAGTTGCCTACTTTCATGAAAATAAGATTGAGAGGGTAACCTGTCATAACTTAGAAATAGTTGACAAATAGGAAATGGTTAAAATTTTTTTGGTGCTGTAGAATACCTAGAATTTCATGGTCAGGGAGAATCTATATTTTGATCCACAGATTCTATAAAGTTTAGTTCTTTGTGACTTCATAGCAGAGCTTTTAACTCATGGCTGCAAAAGTTAAAAATGAAATTAATACAGTGACTGCATTTTAAACATCCCAGATCCCAGACATCCATAAAAATCTAGTTTTACTCTTCTGTGAATTACATAATGTCCTGTAACTCATGAGTTGTTTTGTTTTAAAGATGGACTTTTCTTGAAGTGAAAACAGTTCAACGGTGTCTTACAGGCACTGTATTCATATATATATATGAATAGCTTACAGGGAGGCTGTGAAAACATGAATGCCAGCAAAGGTAAAATGTGGACCTTGATTATTTGAAACAGGATCAGGACTTTCAAAATGTCTTGCCATGCTTCACAAATTATGGGAAGTTCTACCAAAAGAAACCACTCCCAGGAGTAGTGTATGTATTTATCTCTTTTTCTTCATGCAAATATGTGCCTCGGGCCTTATAAATAATAGACCACAAAGTGCTAAAATATGAGAGGGGGAGAGGAGGAATGTTTGTGTGTGGTGGTGATTAAATTCAAGACCTCCCCTCATGCCAGGAACACTACCACTAGCCACATATTTAGCCCACCATCAGTTAGGTAGGCATAACATTCAGATGTCAAGTATTCAACTCTGCCTTTATTGTAACCAAGAGATTTCAAGGTCAGTTTCTTATGCCTATCTCTAGTCTTTTTTTTGGGGGGGGGGTACTGGGGATCGAACTCATGACCTTGCATTTGCCAGGGGAGGCATTTATACTGCTGAGCTAAATCCCTGGCCTTCAGCTCTACCTTTAAAATTGCTACACCAGCATAAAAAGCAGTTTATTGTTTGCTGATGGGGTGGAGAACATTTTGAGCCAAGTGAAGTACTTTAGATATTTAAACTTGGCCTAGTGCTGCATGACTTCTTAATTTTAAGTGAAAGCAGAGATAAGTTGTATTGCTCAACTTCTTCCCACAGGCCTTTCCTGACTGAAAATATCCCTTGCCCTGCCCTCCTATTTTTGGAGACAGGATTTCTTTATGTAGTCAAGGCTGGCCTTAAACTTACTATATACTGTGTAGACCAGGCTGGTCTCAAACTCAAGATCCTCGTGCCTCCCAGTGCTAAGGGAATACAGGTATGTGCTACCACTTGTCTTAATTACCTGTCATTTAAGAACTCTTAACTGCAATTTTATAAATTTCTACTAAATAGATTATTTCTTTGTGTGGCTTGTCTCCACTAGATTGTAAGCCTTTGGAGGTCAGCAAAACATCGAAGTTAATTGTGTCTTCCATTTCTTACACAGTGCCTCAAACTTGCTATTCAATACTCATTAAAATAATGGGTATATCACTGGGTTGCAATTTGGTATCTATGAGGCCTTTAAATGAATACATTAAAATTTTTATAGTTTATAAACATGGCACAATGTAGCATTTGCAAAAAATGTGTACTTAATTGTTTTAGCTCTCAACATTCTAGAGTCTAGGGACATATAATGCACGTAACATGAGTAATTTTGAATTTCCTAACCAGATTGAAATTATTTTTAGCCCAGTTCCCCAAAACATATCCTAACAGGTTGTTAAAAGTTGACACATTTTCTATCCTCATTTTCATACTGTCTGAAATCTGATGTGTATTTTACACCTGACAAGCTATCTTTTAAATCCTCAACAGCCACATGTGGCTTGCAGCTTACAGTATTCAGAGATATGTAGCACTTTTAAGACAGCACAAAAACTTATAGCTTTGATTCAGTGTCATTTTCATTTTAAATTATTGTAATCCACATAAAAGCTATGTGGTCCAGCAGTTTTTTCTGTCCTATTAGTAAATCAAAGTTTATTTTTTGAAACTAAGTGTTGTATGAGGCACTTTGCACTCAGTTTAATTTTCCCCCAAACTTTATCAAGAAGATAACTATTTTAGAAGTGAGAATGCAGTGGCTGAGACATGAAAAGTTGACCTTGATCAGTATCCTGTTAGAAGATGCAGGTAGCTCCAGAACCAGGATTGGTTGTGGATATTCCATATTTCCTCTAAGAAATTTGGAACTTAATAGAGAGTTTGAAGTAAAACTCAGGCTTTGTATGCAAGTAAGTGTAAAAAGGGGGCTAGATTGGAAGATCAAAGAAAAGTATTTAATGAAGTAGAGGTCATTGTGCTGTCTCAGGTGAGGTCTGTAGCAACAGGATTCTTTACATACAGATTTTAAAGGTTTTTCTTGTTGGTTGGGTGTAGTTCAGCAATACAACTTGCTAAAGTATGTGTCTAAACCCTGGGGTCAGTGTCTAGTACTAAGAAAATTTTTTTCTTATGGCAGAAACTCATTTTTCTCATCTAGAGCAATATAGAATTTATTATTTTGTGATGGAAATAGTGTCTTGTTAAGTAGTTCAGGATGGCCTTGAAGTCACTGTATAGATCAAGGTGGCTTCCAACACAGAGAGTCCTGCCTCAGTCTCCTGAGTGCTGGGATTAGAGGTGTAATACAGAAATTCATTGTGTAATTAACTAATTCTAATTATGGTAAGACATGGGAGGAAGTCTTTGGGTATGATGTTGTAAAGATGTAATCTGAACAGAATTGAAAACATTTTGTTTTTAAATATACTGGCTCTTGGTAGAAAGTTGAATTTAAGAATAAGCCTTTAAGGAAGCAATCGTATTTTTTGAGATAAAATAAGAGTTTACCAAACAAGTTAACACAGTAACAAATGTAAAGCACTCAAATCCATAGTAGGCACGTATACAACATCTTTTAAATTTTAGTATAGCTCTAGCAGGTGCATGTGAAAACAGTTTTAGATAATTCATGAAGTTACAGTATAAAAACTGCAGAATAAAAATTAACTTTTTAAAAGTTTAAGCTTTTAAATGTTACACTGGAGTTTTTAAAAATCACCGACACATACAGTATACTTACAGTGCTGTCAATAGAACCTAATGAAATTAGTGAAATGTACATTTCCATATGCCACTGCCGAATTGATACCAGTCTACAAAAACATTTTTATCAACGATGTTAATGTTCTTACCCTTTGACCCAGTAATTCTATTTAAGTTGATCCTAAAGAAATTAGAGCTGGGCATGATGGTCCAGCCCCTGTATGGGTGATGCAGGAGGATGGCAGCAAGTTGGAGGTCAGCCTCAGATACATAGAGGCCCTGTCTCAAAAAAAAAAAAAAAAAAAAAAAAAGACAAAAACAGGTCGTTATAAATTTAAATGGTTAGCGATAACTGAATAAAGAGTGCTACGTCTTGAAAATAAAATACATCATTGATTCAAGTTTTTGGGAAAATATTCACGGAACCATACATTATAGTTTTTTTTTTTCCCTCCTCTTTGGTTTTGTTTTTCTTTCAAATATTACTTTCAAAGCGTGTCTTTGCCCATTTGGATGGGAAGAGCCTAGCGAAAAGCTATGACAGGCAGAATGAAAGCCCCAGCTCTGGCATTAGAAAGGCTTCAAATCCTTGTTTTGGTAATCCTGATTGTGTCAGTAATGAGCTTGTTACCTACATAAAGGGTGGGATGCGTTAAAAAGTCCTTAGCGCGCGGCCGACAAATTTATTTCAATGTCCTCTTGCACCTCAGGAATGTAGAGAATATGGAAGTTAAAATTTAGAAATGCGACGAGTTGGTAAATAAGACTAATAAGGCACTTGGCCTGCCAACGTGCTTCCGTCCAAACACCTGGATTTTGGTGAGGCTCTTGGGGGCGCCCTGAGCCGAGCCGGCTCCACCTTACTTGTGAGGCCGGCAGAAGATGCTCCCTCCTAGGGGTAGCGATTTGGTGGCTAGGATTCCTCAGGCTTTCCCGGCCACTCCCGCATACCTCAGGCTTTCTCTTTTAAACTTAGGGCTCTAAGACGTCCGTGTCTCCACTACCTTTGGCTCTGCTCCAAGCTTGGAGCAGTGGCCACCTGGCGCGGGGTGACGAGGCGAGGCGGGAAGTGGGGCGCGACCACGGGCTTCTCCGCAGCACGGTGTCGCGTCGCCGACTACAGTTCCCAGGGGTCCTCGCGAGTGCCGGGCGCTCCGCAAGCAGTGCCTGGCGGCGGCGTTTTTCCTCTATTTCCATACAACCTTTTCCCTCTTAAGCAGTGCAGGAAGCTGCCGCGTGCTAGGCTTCCTCTCGATTTCAGGCACAGGCTGGGCCTCCTGGAGTCCGGTCCTTCACGAAAGTCCCTCGCGGCTCTGAACGGGAGGGCGGGGCTGCAGGACGCGGGAGACGCCGCGCGAGGTGGTGACCTCCGGTGCGTCGTGTGGTCTTCCCCGGTAGCTCGAGGTGCGGCGGCCGCGCATGCGCGGAGGTAGGGGCGGGGCCTAGAACGACTGCGGCTGGCGGGGCCGGTCCGCCGCTGGGCGGCTATGTGGGTCCGCCGTACGGCGGCGGGCCAGGAACAGGAAAGGTTGACCCGGGTCACCTTTACCTCAGCTTCAGCAGGTGGTGCCGCCTCAGTTTCACGGACAGAAATGGTGTCGTGGGTGCGAACGATGGGGGAGAAACTGAAGCAGCGGCTGCGGCTGGACGTAGGACGTGAGATCTGCCGTCAGTACCCGCTCTTCTGCTTCCTGCTGCTCTGCCTTAGCGCTGCTTCTCTGATCCTTAACAGGTACCACCTGCAGTGCGGGACGCCGTGGGCGGCTTCCCAGGCCAAGGGCGCAGGCTGGGCAGCTGCAGGCCGCGGGCGGGAGCGCCTCTGGTGGAGCCGCCTGGGCAGCCGGAAGGCGGGCTGCGGGGGCCTGAGGTGGCTGTCACATTCTCTGGTACTTACCTGCTTTTCACGCTTTTTCACTTGTGGCCCTCCTCGGTGGTGGTTTTTCTACCCGGAAGCCTTCGAATCAGCCTGAGTCCGGCTTGTCTGCCGCGATGCAGGGGCGGTCCCGTCAGCTGACCGAGGAGGGTGCAAGGTTCAGTCGCAGCCCCAGTTTTGGGCCTAAGCCTTCGCCGCAGCCCGCACGGAGGCCCAAGGCTTTTCCTGCAGTTGTTGGTTTTGGAAAACGGTCATAAGGATTTCTTGAAGTGAGAAAGCAAATTAATGCCCGTCTCAGTATCCTTAAAGGAACTGAGGACAAAAAAGAAAAACACTGAAATACTGTGAAAAGTTAAAATTGACGTTTTGAGATCGGAGAATTTTTGCCCCTGAAAAAAGTTGTAGATTTGCTTCATTTTGGCATTTCAAAAGATGGTAACCTTGCAGTCTGCAGAGAATTTTCCCGTGCTGTTTTCTGTGGTGTCTTAGGAGTTTTTTTACTCTTTATCTTGAGATGATCGACCCCCAAAGGTAGCAATAGCAGGGGAGAATGCTAAAGGAATCTGGTAATTTCACCCTAGCCGTTTTCTGTGTCTATGCTGAAGTTGGATTTCTTTCTTTCTTTCTTTCTTCCTTTCTTTCTTTCTTTCTTTCTTTTTTGTACCCAGAATTGAACTCAGGACCTTACCAGGCACTTGTACAGCTGAGCTATATCCCTAGCCAGGGCTTGGTTCTTAACTGGGGTTTTGCTTTCTTGTTATTCTCAGTTTGAACAATAGTTGATCCTTTCTTCTTTTGGTTTTTGGTTTTTTGAGACAGGATCTCGTTGTTTATCCCAGACAAGCCTTGAACTCAAGGTAGTCCTTTTGCCTCAGTCTGTCAAGTGGTGGGATTAGATGCCTGTGCCACTATGCCCAAATGTAAAAATGTTTTAGCCTTGGCCTCTGGCCACTTGATGTCAGTTATGGGGGTGGATTATTAAGGGTCTGAGGTTTTGACAATAAAAAAGTGTCTTCATACATTGCCGGATGTCGTGGGGTGGGAGCAAAATCACCTGATTTGGAGCCACAAACTAATTGCCTTTAAAACTATAAGTTTCTACACTAATGTCTAACACATTAATTTTCATTTTAAACAATCCTTTAAGTGTAGCTCGTTTTAGTTGTTGGCCCCATACATTGCACTTAGAATTTAACACTGGTGCTCCAGCCACCTGTTAGCTGGAAGTATGGGTCTGCACCACTGTACCTGGCTCTATAATTCTTAATCTGCAGTTCTAAATGCAAGAAAGTATGAAGTTGTTTTACCCCTGAGTTTGGAACCAGATTGCATTTGATAACAGAAGCTGATCTGAATGGATAAGAGAATATTATTTACAGTATTTGTCATTTGTTTATTGATCACATGATTTGCTACAGGTATACTAATATCTGATGTGGGCACTGTGTAAGACCTTATTGCATATGTTAAATTGTATATAAAATATGTACCGTGTAATTGTTCAAGAATCTTAAACATTTTGAATTCTGGATTGTATATATTGCTCAAATGATTTTGGAGAAATGAATGTGAATATGAATTTCATAATTCCTTGTATGGAAAATTCCTGTCCTCTAACCTGACATAAGACTAATTTTTTTAAGTTTGGATGTCAGTGTCCATTGGTTAGAATGAAGGTTTTCATAAAGAAGTAAGAATGGCTAGGGATGTAGCTTGCCTGGAATGTTCAATCCTTAGTACTGCCAAAAAGGAGGAAAAAAAGTGGAAGAAACAAGCATAGAAAGGTAAATTAGAGCCTAGTTAAAGTCATTGTGAACTGGGTGCTGTGGTGCATGCCTGTAGTCCCAGTGCTCGGGAGGCTAAGGCAGGAGAATAGCTAGGGGTTTGAGATCAGCTTGGGCTACAAAGTGAGTAATAATCCACCCCCATAACTGACATCAAGTGGCCAGAGGCCAAGGCTAAAAAATTTTTACATTTGGGCATGGTGGCAAAAAGAAAGAAAAAGACCAACAAACAGACAGAAAGGAGTCGTGTTAGTTTTCTAATCAGAGATAAAATGCAGGAAAGACAACACTCAATAGTTTGAAGGAGAGTTTTAATTTGATTCATGATCTCACTGGTGATGGCTGGCTCCAAGGTTTGAGACATCATGGCCAGGAAGCAGAGCAAAAGAGTGTCAGGGAGGAAGGGGAAGGGACAGACGTAGATCCCAAAACCTTGCCTTTGACCTATCCAGACACCTAGATGTGTGTCCCACTAATCCCAAGGTAGACCCAAAGCCAGTCAAATTGGCACTCTACCCTGACTGACACCGAGTCATAAAGTCTAAAGAGGCATTCTGCAGCTGTGGCAGGTTTTAGGGTTGGGTGGCAATGTTTGTGTTTTAAGTGCTGAGAGCATTTTCAGTAATAGGTGACAATAAGTGTTTCTCAAGTATAGAATTATTCTGAGAGCCTGGTCAGCAGGTAGTTTAATGTGGCTGAGTGACAGGGCTTTTGTCTTGTGTTCTTACCTTGGGTATAAGATATGACCACCTTTCCATTTGTCTTCTCCTCCTCTTACTGTTTGGAACTGCATTCCCCAATTCTGAATTCTCAAGTCCTCACAGGTTTACAATCTGGTTAGATAAATCCAAAATGGATGTGGAATTTACCTGTGGGCTTCCCTTTTCTCACAGATTGCAGCGCTGCACCTCTTGTCACCCATTACCTGGAAATGGTTGTTGCATATATTTTGTTCACTTAGGTAATTGGTAATGGGATTCTGATACTAAGGAAGAAGAAGTCTCTTATTCTATTGAAACATATACCATTTCTGTTTCTCTCACTAATAGTGATTTCTCGGACAGTCATACCTATAACACCCCCCCCCCCCATACTGTGAACTTGATCTGGGGCCTTTCAACTGAGCCACACCCCAAGCCCCTTTTATATTTTATTTTGGGAGAGGGTCTCACTAAATCACTGAGTTGCCCAGGCTTGAACTTGTAGTCCTCCTACTGAGATTATAGGCATTTACCACAGTGGCTGGCTGTCCTCCTTCAGATTCTGCCATCATTCTAGATGGTCTCAGTGTTTGTTGGGAACAACTCATCAGATAATTTAGTCTATTTCGAGGTGATTCCTTTTCAGCCTCTCACTTGTATTATTATAATCTCTTATTATTGCTATGAAATGTTTTACTTTTGAAGTCTTAAGAATCAAATATTGGGGCTGGGGGTTTAGCTCAGCGGCATAAGCGCCTGCCTTGCAAGCAGGCAGTCATGAGTTCAATCCCTGGTACCGATAAAAAGGAAAAAGACAAAAAAAAAAAAATTTAAGAATCAAATATTTTACTTGCTGACTAGTACCCATCCACTTCTCTGAATCACATTGTATCTGCATTTATTTATCTATTGACAATACTGGTGATTGAACCCAAGGCCTTTACTTTGAGCTAAAAATATTTTTTATTTTGAGATATGGTCTCTCTGCTAAGTTGCTTCTTGACATCTCAATTTCCTCCTGACTCTTCTGCTTCTTCCTATCTGTTCTTCTTTGGTTGTCACTTGTTCTCATACAAAATTTGGAGTCATAGTAACTTTAGATTTCATGGTTGACTGTTTTATTTATTCTGTGGCGTCCTTAACTTTTTTTTTGTCTTTTTCCTTTTTATCAGTACCAGGGATCGAACTCACGACTGCCTGCTTGCAAGGCAGGCGCTTATGCCGCTGAGCTAAATCCCCAGCCCCCAAGTATCCTTAACTTTTATCCAGCTACTTATCTAAGAATATCCAGAATTGAATCAGTTATGCCGTTTAGGAAAAATGAGTGCTGCTGGAGAAAATACCACAACTGAGAATTTATTCTTCGGCTTGGGTATTGCCCGTTTCTCTGCAGCCGCTGTTTCAGAGCTTTCCTAACTCCGGTAGACCCTGGGATTGTGCTGTCTTTGCCTTTCACTCTGAACATCTCTTGTTTTCATAAGAGATTTGTTCCCACATCTGTTGGTATAACTGCATTCTGATCTATTTTTCTGTGTTGTCAGGAAAGAGACATTTATCTTTTATTACTATTAATTCCACTTAGATTTTGAATCCCAACTCTTCCTGTTTTCTTTAGGACATTATTCAGTTATCACTTCTATTTCCTTCTACTTGTTTACATTTTCTGTTTTTTCTCCTTTTCTCTTATCAGTATTTAAATATGAAACATGATGGTATGCACCTGTAATCCCAGCACTTTGAGCCTGAGGTAGGAGGATCTTGAGTTAGCTTTAGCTACTTAATTCAAGGCTAGCCTGAACGACCTAGTGAAACTGTCTCAAAGAAAAAAAAAGAAGCATACACCCCCCCCCACACACAGACATATGATCAGATTTTCACCTAAAACTTTTCTCTTGTTGCAGCTTAGCTTTTTTTTTTTTTTTTCTTTAAACTTTAAGAGAATTGTCTGCTAGGCTAGGTGGCACAGGCCTGTAATTCTACCGCTTAGGTGGCTGAGACAGGAAGATTGCCATCAGTTCAAGGCCAGCCTGGGCCACATAGTGAGTTCAAAGCCTGTCTGGAATACATAGTGAAACCCCATCTGAAAAATAAAAAGAATTACCCACATTTATTGATTCTACTCATTATTTCAATCCGTTACAGTTTTTTGCTGTTCTGCCAGAACAATCTTATTCTTTTATCCCCTTATTATAAAGTTAAATGATACTTTTCAGTGTTGTTTACTTTATTACAAATATTTGGTTGCTTGAGTCGTTTCTCTTGAGTTTTTAAAATTTTGACTTTTTATGACTTGAATCTTGGTTTACCTCCTAACTCTTCTAATTATTAGATTCCTTTGTAGTTTCCCTCTGCTTCGTTCTTAAATGTCTTATGCTTATTCTTTTTCTTCTTTTTTAAACTCTTCTATTTCTTCTTGAAAATGTTTTTAATTCCTTTTTTTAAAAATTTTATTTAAAGAGAGACTAAACAAAACAGAAAACAGGGAGAAATAATAATACATACTTTCAAAGAAAAAATAAACAGTAAGAAATCACTAGTTGATGTTTACATATTGTCCTCTTACAAATAGTTATTCAGGATACAAAACTGAAACACATAAAGTGGGAATTCACACAGCGAGACTGCAAACAGTTCTGTTCAACTATACAACAAAAACTTAGTAATATGGTTATCAATCCTATACACTTAAACATACATGCAGTTATCCATATCTTCATTTATGTTGAGATTAAACAAACCGAGGCAGGCTAAAATCACTCTGAACAAAGAATAATATTATTGCTGGGTTTCATATCATGACATTCCAGGATCAGCACTGGGTACTGTAGTGTCACTTTTTCTCTTTTTCTTCTGTAGTATTTGTTCATTTCATCCTGTGTCATAAGATCAGTTCTCATAAACTGTTTATAGGTTCTACGCATGCATGAGTCTTAACATGTATTTCTATCTTTTCTGCATTAGAGGGAGAAACAAACAAAGCAAGACAAAACAAAACATATTCCTATAAACACATGAAATGAAAAAGATATAAAATCGCTGTACAAAGAGTTCTACCATGGTTACTGTGTTGTTTCTTGTTATCTTCAATAGAATTGTCTATACTATCAGATATAATATAATTGAATATATCAGTACATAACAGTATTAATAAAAACACAACTTTGTAAATAGTGTCAAAAACAGGTAGTAATCAAACCAAAATGGGTATCATAGTGAATCTTGTCATCTTCAGTGTAGTTGCCTACACTCTCAGATTTGATTCTATCAATCATATCAGTTTTGAATAAAATCTGTCGATATCAAACAGCAGTCAAACAAACCAGATTTAACTAAGATCAGTCATAATAAAACAGTATAAGTTATACAAGGCTCTGTATTAAGTTAATAGGAAATTAAAGATGATTACTGAGCTGTATCCTGATGTTTTTGGGATAGCTGTCTGTGCCCTCAACTCTAATGCAAGTAGACAAACTGGGACAGAATAAAATCTATCTAAGCAGAGCGGTGCAAGTAATACGCGTTTTAATTCTTGATATACTATTAACAATATCATCTGTCATCTTTTTTAAGACTATTCCTCCCCTTCCATTTCCCCGGGTGCACTGTGCATTTTGGGGTCTCACCAACTCCCTCGGTTTTAAATTGGGCGGGGGCAACCTGCTATTTACCTAAGTGGTTCTGAACCTTCTCCTTCCTGAACTTGATCTCTAGTTGTATTCCCTTGCCCCTTAAAGCCTGTCTTTCCAACCTGTCCACAAATACTGGTCTAGTTGTCCTATTACTCTCTGGTTTCCTGCCACATAGAGCATTGTTCTCTCATATTTGATTTTTGGTCCATAAACCCTTTTTCAGGTTAATTATATTTCCTATAAAAAGCATATCGGTGGACCCTATCTCCTGATCTACTCTACCTGTGATTCTTTTTTTTTAAATTAAGTGTATCAATGCCATCTATATTAGAGATTATAACCAACCTTCTCTGCCTCATTTCTGTTGTGTTCTTTTTCTGTCATTAGTTGTCAGCTTGTCTTCTTCATTCTACTTTTTGCTCCATTCATTGAGGCCTCTCTGCCACTGTTCCTGGAATCCTGGTACTTTTCTCTCTCTAGAATGTCCTGCAGTATTCTCTGTAGGGTTGGATTGGTGGTCGCGATTTTCCCCAGTTCCTCTTTTTCTTGGAAGCGTCTTGTTTCTCCATTAATTTCTAGAGACAGTTTTTCAGGGTATATCAATCTGGGCTGGAGGTTATTTTCTTTCAGGGCTTGGAATATTTTGCTTCAGGCTCTTCTTGACTTGATGGTGGTGTGTGTCGAGAAGTCTGCTGTAATTCTCATGGGCCTTCCTTTATAGGTGATCTGTTTCTTGTCTCTAACAGCTTTTAATCTGTTACATTGAATTTCTGGGATCTTGATTATTATATGCCTGGGTGTGGCTCTGTTTTGGTTGTAGGTGGTTGGAATTCTGTATGCCTCATGCATCTGAGTATCATTTCCTTTACCTACAGTTGGGAAGTTTTCCTTAATTATTTCTGTGAATAGCCTTTGTAGTTCCTTTGTTTATACCCCTGCTTCTTCACTCACATTCTTTTTCTCAAGTTACTGATCCTCTTGTTGTCTTATAGCCTTTGTATTGTTACTGCTTGTTTCCTTGCTATTGTTTTTTTTTTTTTTTTTTTTGTCTTTTTCGTTTTTATCGGTACCAGGGATCGAACTCACGATTACCTGCTTGCAAGGCAGGCGCTTAGGCCGCTGAGCTAAATCCCCAGCCCCTTTCCTTGCTATTTTTAAGAAGTTTTTCCTTTCCTAATCCCTCATTGCAAACCTGCCCTCCAGTTTGGATAATCTATCCTTAGTTTCTTTCACGCAGTTTTGCCAACTTTCAATGGAGTTTTTAATTTCCTGGTAATCTCTTTGAATCTGCTTCATGTATTCTACATTTTCTTTATATTCTTCATTAAACAATTCCCTCCTTTTTTTTGTGCTCCTCCATTCTTTTTTTTTTTTGTCTTTTTCCTTTTTATCAGTACCAGGGATCGAACTCATGACTGCCTGCTTGCAAGAAAGGCAGGCACTTATGCTGCTGAGCTAAACCCCCAGCCCCTGCTCCTCCATTCTTTCATCTGTGTCTTCTTGAGAGGTGGGTAGCATTTGTTTTATTAATCTATTTATGTCTTGCTTTACTCGATTAAATATTTCACTTTTGAACTCATCTATGAGGTCCTGAAGATATCTCTTTATGTCCACTGGTGGTGTGTCTGCTGTTGCATGTTTGCTGTCCTCAGTCTTCTTTGTATTTACCTTTCCTGGATCAATGTTCTCAGGATTGGGGACTGGGGGCTTTTTCTTGTTGCTTCCTTTTGTATTTTTTGTTTCTTCCATACAGGCACATACAGAAGGCCCCAGTGTCTTTCTTTGTTGGCTATGATTCTTCTCGAAAATGTCTTTTATTTCTGTGACTTCCATGATCTTCATACTGATAATTCTCAATCTTTTATCTTTAGCCTGTGTTTCTTCCGGAAGATTCAGACTATCTAACATTCAGTTGCTTATGGAGTGTTTTCTGTGGCATGTCTTAAATGGATAATTGAAATCTAGGGTTTGTTTTTAACCCCTCCTTTCTGCCTACATCCAATCAACTAGTCCCTGCTTTATGTATTTATTTATTGAAATAAGTCTTTACTATGTAGTTCAGACTGGCCTTGAGCTCCCTGTATTGTCCAGGATACACAGGCCTGTACCACCATACCCAGGTTTTGGTCCTCTGAACATTTTTTTCTCAGATGTCGCTCAAGAGAAACACTGTTTTATCTCAGCTTCTTTCCTAGTATAGGTCATTCTTAATTCTCCTAGATTACTGCAACAGCTTTAAAATTAGTCTGCATGGTTTTGAAGCATAGTATAGCAAATGATCTGAATTTCATATCGTCACTTTCTGTATTAAAGTCTTCCTAAAACTCCTTCTTTGATATTATTCAGAGCTATTGATAGTAGATGGCAGAAACCCATTAGATTTGGCAGAAAGGAAAACTGGAAGGTGTTCTTTGTTTGTTTTTAGAGACAGTCTTGCTGTGTACTTTATAGTAGCCTTGATCTCACTCTGTCTCTAAAAGGTTTGGGTGAATTGCTGTACTCTTAAGTTTGTATTGACTTTGATGTTTTGTTCAATGTCATAAAATATCTCACAGTTAATAAACATATGCCCGTTTTTGGAATTTGATTCAAGTTGTGGGGGAAATGGTGCTAAAAATTGGCAGCTGAAATTCATGGGTCTTAAACCTGTATAATATGAGGAAGGCCTCAAATGAGACACTTTAACATGACCTACTGTATAATACAGTATGCTCTCAGCTGCCTGATTACTTTAGATTTCTTTCCAGGCACATTTGCCCTTGGAACTATGCCCAGATTTCAACCCATTTAGTTTTCTCAAGTTTCAAATGCCCAGCTTCTTCCCCATTCATCCCTCCCTCTACCATCTCCTTTCTTGGTTTATCCTACTCACTTTTGAATTTTTCTATACATGTTGCTTTCTCTGAAAAAGGCTGTTCAAATTGGGGTTGAGCGGTTAGCCTGTGGTATGGCACAAGTATATACTTTTTCTGTCATACCAAACACCTGATTGCATTGCCTGTGTGCTCATTTATCTGTTACTACTACAAGACAGTGTTTCATATGCAAATAGAAACAAAGGCAGTGATATTTTCTATGATATCTTCTGAGCTTAGTGTTGTCTAGCATAAAGTTGGTACTTATTTCTGATGATAATCAGGATTTTGGTGGAGTGTGAGCATAATGCGTATCATTAAAAGTATTTTTGAAGAATGTGGTAGTATTTGATTAGTTAAAAATGACTACATAGGGCTGGGGATATAGCTCAATGGGCACAGCACCTGCCTGGCAAATACAAGGTCCCGGTACCAAAAAAAAAAGAAAAAATGACTACATAGGTACTAAATTATAAAATATTGAGGATTTGTGCTTTAAATGAAATTACTTATTTGATGACGTATTTCATGGTTCTTATTAATAAAAACGAAATTAATCATGACTGGAAAAATTGCATCTGACTGGTAGGTGCTTATTGAATACTTACTAAATAAAAAAGGAATAACAGGATTTTCTTTGGTTCTGATTTTTTCATTTATTTCTAAGGTATCTTCATATTTTGATGATATTCTGGTCATTTGTTGCTGGAGTTGTCACATTCTACTGCTCATTAGGACCTGATTCTCTCTTGCCAAATATTTTCTTCACAATAAAATACAAACCCAAGGTAAAATTGTATTTTTATTTTTAAGTTAGTATGTGTGACCCTGTGCTTTATAATATTTATTATTGAAAGCATATTAAAGCAATGATTTCTAAAAATCTTTTACTATTATTTACCAATAGAATATACAAAGTCCCTCAGGAAATTTTCATAATGAAATTTATTTGTGTGACTATGTATACCATCACATCTGGCTTCCTGCCATATTTTTCAGGACTGTGGTTGTAGAAGGAACCATAAAATGAAAATACAAACTTATCAGGGGCTTGGGAATCTATCATAGAGGGTCCTTTGACTGTATATTCACTATTAGGATAATAAGATAAAACAGATGCTGAAGGCTGGTTTTAAAGTAGAATCTCCTGTGGAATCTTTTAAAAATGCAGGTTCTTGGCAGGCACAGTATCGCATACCCATAATCTTAGCACTGTGAGGATGATCCCAACTTTTAAGTTCAACTGTGCAATTCAGAGGCTCAGAGAGACTCTGTATCACAATAAAAAAATGATCTGGGGATTTAATTCAGGGCAGAGATCTTGGGTTAAATAATTTAACCCTTTTAATTTGTTGTCTTCCTTTTTTTGTGGTGCTAGGGACTGAACCTAGGGACTTGTACAGGTAAGGCAAGCAGTCTGTCCTTCACCTACACTGTTAATTTGTTAGATGTTTCTGTGTACCATAGAAACAAATAATTAGGCAATGAAGATAACTAAAATAACTTGTATTTCTGAAATTTAATAAAGGTACTAGTATATGGAATTATCTAAGGTAAAGCTTTGTTCTATAAATCAGGATTTAGTATGATCTGTCCTTTTCTTTTTTTCTGCTAAGGATTGAACCTAGGGCCTCAGTCATCCTAGGCAAGTGTTCTAGGCTCACCAAGTGGAATGCCGTGAAATTTAACTTGACTAAGTTGACCCAGTCTCTTGTCTCAGGCTTGTTAATATTTCTATTCACAAGATAGATGGCTGAAAATGTGCCCCATATTTGGTCAGGAATTGTGCTGTTCATCGTATGTCTTCTCCCTCATGTTACTCAAAGTTGTGGAGAAGTAAAAAATCATTTTTTCTTACTGTGTTTGTAGTAGAGTATCTCATTCAGTTTATAAATGCTCATAACATGTAACATGACTTTTGAACTTGAAAATTTGGCTTAGTGTAAGGCATTTCATCAAGAGTTTTTTCTCCTTTAACCTTGTAGCTTAGCAAGTATTATTTTTTACAAAGAATGATCTTGCTGTTAGAGTAGAACAAAAAAATGTCCTTGGAATTTCTGTTTAAGTGAAAACCTTGTGAAAAGTGGATTGTCTGTAGCAAGGATAACATGTAACCTATGACAGATCTCTTTCTCCTTTTTTAGCAGTTGGGACTTCAAGAACTATTTCCTCAGGGTCATAGCTGTGCTGTTTGTGGTAAAGTGAAATGTAAACGACATAGGTAAGTTAAACATTTCTTATTCATTGATCTTTGTAATTATATTTTGTATTACAAGTTACTTAATTATGTATGTGTGTATTTTTAAGGCCATCTTTACTTCTTGAAAACTACCAGCCATGGCTAGACCTGAAAATTTCTTCCAAGGTTGATGCATCTCTCTCAGAGGTGACTAATTTAATTACTATTGCCAGATACAGTCTTGTGTTATTGAATTATGGGGATGTCTTCTGAAAAGTACATTGATAGGAAATTGCATTGTTGTGAGAACATCACAGAATTACTTGTACAAAACTATATGGAATAGTTCAGTCCGATATAATCAAGGAATGTGGTAAACATGAGGTCTATGAGGCTGCTGCTAGCTTAATAGGGCAAACTTTGGTAGAAAGTGTATTTTGGGGGATAAGTAGAATATTTCAGTATTTATCCAAAATAACAAAAAGTACAGTAAATACATTAGTATCAAGTATTATATAGTGTGCATCCTTGTATGTGCCATACTTTTTTATAACTGGCAGAATAGTAAGTTTGTTTATACAAGCATCACAACACACCTGTGAACAATGCACTGTACAATTGCAGCTGTGTTCTCAAAAGATGATAGGAATTTTTTTAGGTCCTTTATAATCTTAGGGGACCACTGGTGTATATGTGGTGCATTGTGATGGATATGTCATTTGACTGTATACACAAACAGAAAACTTTAAATACATATGAAAAATTTTTCTAGATAGTTTTATTTAAAAAATTTAATTATAGAATATTCCAGTACCACCTAAAAAGTTCTGAACTAGCTAGTTGATTTTCACAAAATAAGTAGCTTAAATGGTAAGTTATTGGGCTGGGAATTTAGCTCAGCGGCATAAGTACCTGCCTTGCAAGCAGGCGGTCGTGAGTTCGATCCCTGGTACCGATAAAAATGAAAAAGACAAAAAAAAAAAAAAAAAAAATGGTAAGTTATTACTGATTATACTTGGAATCCAGATTTTTTTTTTTTGGTACCAACAATCCAACTCAGGATCTTGTGCTTGCCACACAGGCACTTATGCCACTGAGCTATATTCCCAGCTGGACCCTAGATTTAAATAAACTTTCTTAACTGATTAGTGTTACCTTCTATAAATACTATATAGATGTCTTTATTGGAGGCAAGAAGAAATAGCCATTTTAAAAATTCCCAAAGAGGCATTGAACTGCAGGGAATAAATATGTATCTTACTGAATTATGAACCCAGTTTTGTTGCTAACATAAAGTAGAACAAGGAATGGGATAATTTTCACTATTTTTGCATAATGATTGAAATGGATCATTTCCCCATTCTGAATCTTTGCTGTTGTCATATTTTGTATATTTATTTTTTGGTAACATGCATATTTTAGTTATTTGTCCCAGAGACTTTTCTTTTTAGTGAATTGAGGAACCAAACTTTTCCGGAGTGGGGAATGGAGGTCTCATTTGTTCCTAGCACCAAGTTCAGGATCACATACATCATTGGTAGCTGATGGATATGTGTTGAATTAAACTGAATGCTAAGTAGTTGAAGGATAGTGTTTGACACCTGAATCCTGCTTAATTGTCCTTTATCCTTATTTATAATGCCACTAATGCTTGGCACTTTTTCTTTTCATTAGATTTCCAAAGTCCTTTTCATCTTCTTTTGCCAATTTAAGATAATGCTGCCAATAGCCGGGCATAGTGGCTCACGCTTGTAATCCCAGCACTCAGGAAGCTGAGGCAGGAGGATTGTTGTGAGTTCGAGACCAGCCTGGGCTACAAAGTGAGCTCAAGACCAGTCTGAACTGCACAGCGAGAGCCTGTCTCAAAAGACAAAAAAAAAAAAAAAAAAAAAAAAGAGAGAGAGAGAGATAATGCTGCCTATTATGGTAGACATACGGTCTGGACACATGTGACTGTTAGTAAAAATTGAAATGTGCTAGTCCAAACTGAGATGTTCTGTGTGTAGTATACATACGTATCAGAAACCAGTGACTGCATTTGCTACTGTGAGACTGAGAAATAGGTTTTCAAGGGAGTAGAGCTCTGGAGAGGAAAGAAACTATTCATTAAGCTGGAGGGCAAAAATGTGAGTGAGGATGTGGACAAGAAGGAAATAATGTTTCAATAGTGATCATGTGTTAATATACTTAATGTGTATTTGGTACTTTGCTGAGCACATGCATTATTTCATGTTAGCTATACCTAATCTGTGAAGTGGTTGCTATTATTGATGACATTACCAAAGATAAACTGAAACTAAGAGAATTTTAATGTTTCAGATTTCTTATATGGTTGATAATAGAACCCAGTCAAACACTCAGGTATGACTAAGGATATAGTTCAATAGAACAAGTGTCTGCCTGGCCAGTGCAAGGCAAACACTACCATTGAGCTATATCCTCAACCCTTTTTAAAAATTTGAAACTCACTAAGGGTCTCACTAAGTTGCCTAGGCTTTTTTTGAACTTGGAATTCTGTATTCTCTGGCTCCATAGTACCTGATTTTGCAGGCATGTACCATTGTGACTGGCCTCTGGCTTAGTTCTTAACCGTATTTTATATAGCTCTTTATTTTTTAAATTTTACTTTATTTTAAAGAGAATAAGACAAACGAGGACAGAACAAAGCAGATCAGAACTATGTAAGCAACACAGTACTTCACCACAAGACTACCAGATATTAACAGTAGCTATCTTAATGTCTCTTTCTTTGAAATAGTTGAGCATTATACAGCTCTTTAGAAATCAGAAGATTTTATGTAGCTATACTGATGGAGTGTTGATATCCATGATGGAAGCCAGTGATTTTCTGTTAATAAGGCTTCAGATGTAACTAACATAGTGGAGGGTGAAAAGAAAGGAAATGGTCGTACTTCTGACATGGCGAGTTCTCTCCTTCAAAATCAGTGTAGTTTTATATTCTTTTATGTATTGAGATTTGGTATAGTGAGTGTTTCATGCAAGGGAATGCTGTGGTCAAATATTTTTAGACCACTTTGCCACCTCTTTTGAAGGTTGGAGGAGAGCATATTTGGAAGTAGGGAGGTTAGTTTGTGGGTACTGCTGCAGTATAAGTGGTGAGATAAGGACATGAACAGTGGTGCTATAGAAGAGGGCAGCTTAGCAGTAAAATTACCGTGACTTTGTGATTGGATGCAAGATATAAAGGAAGTTGTTTCTGTCTATATGTATTTTCTTTTCCCCAGAAATCAAATTAATGCTTACTTTTTGGATTAAAAATCCAAATTATTACTTTCTTAACAGTTATATTTAGGGAACCCAGAATTTTTGTCACTGCTGCCAGGTAAGATATATAAAGTTTGACAAACATATTGGTAAGATATGTTTCTTTCTCTTCATATTTCTTTTTTTTGAGACAAAGCTGCATTATTATAGTTTAGGCTGGTCTGGAACTCACTGTGCAGCCCAAACTGACCTCTAACTTGTATTGATCTTCCTGCCTTAACCTCCAGAGTGCTGAAATTATAGATATGCACCACCATGCCCATCCCTATTCCTTTTTTAAGTTACTGGGCAATTTCTTACTAAAATTACAAAATGTTCTATACCCACAGCCAAAAAACAGAAGATTTAACACATAGGATTTAACACATAGGATTGTTTTGTTGTTACTTTTTCATGTTTAACCTATATACTTATTCTAAGTATATGGCTAAAATTTCCGTAGAGTGAACATAACTGTAATTAGCTTGCCAGTCAAGAAACAGAACATTCTTGGTACCCTAAAAGCCTATGTTTTCTTCCAATTGCCTCCTTCAAAGCTGACCAATTGATATCTAATTTTTACTCCTTATAGAAGTATGTTTCTTCATTTTTTTTTCTGAGAATACTGACTTGAGAAAGTTAAGAATGCAGAAAAAGCCCTTTTATTTTGTTTTTCTATCCAACTTTTTTGCTTCATTAAAGCTTGAGAATCAGAAATAATTTAAGTGTTTTTATCTGATTATGGGAATATTTAGAAATAGGAATGTGTCATTCTAATAGAAATTGTTCCTTTTTTGTGGAGTTTTATGTTTTTCTAGATATTTTCTCATATGATTTTTGATCTTCAAAACTATGTGAAGTTGGAATATACATTTTTTTATGGAAAAAGTATGATACTGTCAGTATTTTTTTTTTTTTTTTGGTACCGGGGATTGAACTCATGACTGTGTGCTTGCAAGGCAGGTACTTATGCTGCTGAGCTAAATTCCCAGCCTAATTACTGTCGATATTTGGAATAATAAAATTGGAGTTTTTTTTTAGGTAATACTGTATATTACTAAGTAGTACAGTTTGTTTTTCCAGAACTGATTTTTCTTTAAAACTTATTTTTATTCAGGTTCTTGAACTAGTGTTGGAAAACTTTGTTTATCCATGGTACAGGTATGTTCTTTCTCTAAGATCTTCTTCTTTAATACAGTTAATACTAACAGTGTACTGATGATGTATTTCCAGAGGAAGTCAGGATTTGTCAACATTTTAGGCCTGTTTTGTGCATTATAGGACATCAAACCAAACAACACTCCTGGCCTTTCTAATTTTATGGTAGAAGTATACCTTCCTTCCTTCTTCTCACCCCTGTTCTGACTACCAGAAAATGTCTTCACAGATTACCAAGTATTACCAGAAGGCATAATTGCTCCAATGAAAATCACTGATGTAGGCAGTTAACCAGTAAGTTAGTGAGAGTAAAGAGAAGACATCTAGGCTACCGCTTGAAAGAAGAGTGACTTAAGTTTTTTCCCTGTGGTACTGAGATTGAATTCAGGATCTTTGCACTGAACTGCATCCCCTGGGGGTCTTTTTTTTTTTTTTTTAAAGACAGGGTGTTGCTGAGTTACTAAATTGCTCAGGCTGAGTTTGAATCTCCTGCCTCAGTTTCCCAGAGTGCTGGGATAAAGGCATGTACCATCATATCTGGTGACTTGAAGAATTTATCATTCATAAATGTACTGGTTTAATAATTTCATGCAGTTTTCACATTTGAAATAATTGTCCTTTTGAGGGGAATATCTGTACTTGGATGTTTCATTAAATTGAAAAATAACTTAAGTTGGGTTTAGTGCTATGTGCCTGTAATAACCAGCACTTGGCAGGGTGAGGCAGGAGGATCACCATGAGTTTGAGATTAGCCTGAGCTATGGAATGAGTTCAGGACTAACCTGGAATAGATGCTGTCTCAAAGAAATAGGTAATTTTAATATATTGTCTGGAAAATTAATATTTTTTCCAAAATAAGTAAAAGTGTCCTGCATTTGTCATTTAAACCAAGTTAATGATGAATTCTTTTGTAAAATAAATTCTTTTCCAAAGATACCTGTATTTCACCTTACTGTTGAATTCGAACTATTTAGATGTAAAATGGGGTAATATTTCTGGGAGTTAAATATTTTCTCTTTGATCTAGTTATTAATGCAGTGTGCTTTCTTGAGATTATAGGTGGGAAGCATATCTGATACAGTTGTCTTTTTTTATTCTGACAAGAGACTTAATGGTTAGCCCTATCTTCATATTCAGGATGTTGTCACTACACAGTGTTTTTTTCTTGACCTTGATTAGAAAAATGGGCTAATTTTTGAAGAAAATGAAAAGTACCTCCTCAAATGAAGTTTGTAAAAATTTTGATTTAAAATTGTTTGTTTTATTTTCTTTTTCAAGTAGAGCGTGCATACACCCACACCTATACACATCTACATACATATTTACTTTTAGAATTACATTATTATTTTCAAATATTTTGAGCTAACTTTAAAAATTTTGTATTATATTGTTTCTCCAGAATTATTGTTTTCTTTGAAATTTCTTTGATGATGTTTAGAAAATGAACTTAGTTGTTGTAACAAGACAAACATAGCTTTGTAAGCTAATATATGCTAGAACTTACTTAATGATTTACATTTTGGTACTAGAGTTATGAAAGATGTTTATTTTATGTTTATACATTTGTTCTAGTCTGCAATGAAATGCATAATTTATATGTGAAAAGCATAAATGAGAAACAAAAATTTTTTTTCTTAATTTTAAGAAGGTAAAACTGTATATCTAAATGAATGTTTGCTTTTCTCCTCATTTGAAGGGATGTAACAGATGATGAGTCCTTTGTTGATGAACTGAGAGTAACGTTACGGTTTTTTGCATCTGTTTTAATACGAAGGACTCACAAGGTATATATGTATATATTGAGAAGTTTGGGAATTTCAGGCTTTATTATTACAAGAGATGATTTTAAGTCTTTTTCTATGCTGCACATTTTGTATTTGTTTTCTCTTTACTTTTTAAGTTAAAAATTAATAAATCACTTTTGACCAGTTAATCAGTTTTGCTTTTGTTAACCCTTGTTTTGATTAATCAAATTAGAAATGAAAGCTTATAGAAAAAGTTTTATTTCATTTAGATGAATTTATTGACTAAATGGCAATCATAATCTACTTTTAAAAATTTGAGCTATATTTTGTATATGTCTGTGACTTTGCCTTTGTATTGTTGTTGTGGACTCTACACATACACTTGTGTGTCCTGCTTTGTCAGTTCAGTAGGACTGAACATATTGACAGTTAATGCAATTAATTAATGAGTTTAAGATTACTCTTGTTTAATGTTTCTGTATCCATTTGAGAAATGCACAGTACATTCATTCAGTTCAGAAAATAAACATAGAAAACAGCCAATGAGCAATTAAAAATATGTTGTCTTACATCAAATAAAAGTTGAGTCATACTTTTACCTATAGACAGGGAAATATTTTTTAAAAATGTTTATATCTAATAACAATACCTAGAGGAAAAAGGCAAACCAAGTACAAATCCAAATTGATGTCTTACACTACACTTGGTAGTCATTACTAACGTACTTAAAGATGTTCCTGGGTGTGATGGTACATACCTATAATCCCAGGCATTTTGGGTTTTTTGGGTTGTTTGTTTCTTTGAGACACAGGATCACTGTGTAGTTCAGACTGGCCTTGAGCTCACTGTGTAGCCTAGTTTGTGCTCAAAGCAATCAAGCTCAGCCTCCCAAGTGCTGGACTTACAGGCATGTGCCACCAGGCCCAAAATAGATGAGAAATTGAGGCATTGCCTGGGCAATCTAATGATTTTATGAGACTCTATCTTAATAAATTTATTTATTGAAATTAAAAATGGATAGAGAAGTAGCTCAGTGCCCCCTAGGACATACTCAATCTTCATTATAAAAGAAATAAAATCCTTGTACTACCAAATTCAATTCCATTTTTGTAATGTTTTTAAGAAAAAAATATAAAATATTTCAAAAATGTGTATAAAACTCAGATACTTATTATAGTATAATTTATTATAAGGAAACCTGCTAAGGTGATTGGATTATTGGTTGGGTAAATTTATGCTAAGTATAACTGGAATTCTACAAAGCCATGAAAAATCATTTGGTACAATAATGCCTGTTTACATTGCAAAATATTTAAATATTAAGTTGAAGAGATTGAAAAATATTATGTGTGGTATTTTTCACTTTCAAAATAAAGCTCACATATTAAGCTTTTTTTAAAAGCTTTTTAATATTTACTTTAGGGCATAGTAATCCTTAAAACTATTAATAGTTACTATGTTACAGTAATGATGTGCTGTTTTTGAATTTGGATTCTTTCCATGTACTTCTTTATGTTTGCCATGTTTTATTTTTGTTTTGCATGATGTATGATTTTTTTACAAGTTGGTGGTTGTTTTTTTTTTTTTGGTATTGGGGATTGAAGAAAAAAGTTGATGTTTTAAAAAAAAGTTTGTAAGACATTTGTTTCATGACAGACTAAATGCAATAAATAATTTTGTAAGAAATATCACAATGGTTTATATAGACCATGAAAATAATGATTTGAGATAAATTGTGGTCTTCATAATACATAAGTTAATAGGCATTAGTTAATAGAATAATTCAATGTTAAGCCTTGAGATAGCCTAGTGAATACCAAAATAATAGCACCTCATACTTGGAATATGATAACATTTAGTTAATAACATTTGATATGTTATTATATATTATTTGATAGCAGCTTTAAGATAATTTTATTGAGTTGGGTAAAGAACTACTAAATTTTATCCTTCATTGTAAAATAGTATTGAGCCATACTGCATCCTAAAACATTCACTTTAGTTAAAGACAAAATTGGTCACTAAGTTTCTTTATGGAAATATGAAGATGTGTAAGTGAGGCATTTACCTCATAAGAATTTATTATTTTAAGAGATATAATTTATGTATCAAACAACTCTTTTAACATTTTAAGTATATTTACTTTTAGTGTATATTAAAGTATATTTGCTTTTAGTGTATTCACATTACAGAGCTATGCAGATATCACCACAATCAATTTTAGCCTATTTTTGTTACTCGGGGAGGCTTTATAATATTTTTTCAGCACTCCTATCTCAGCCCAAGCCATCTATAATTCTACTTTTTTCTGCCCTACCTATCCACAGTTCTACTTTCTGTGTCTGTGAATTTGTCTGTTCTGGACATTTCATGTAAATAATAGATCATACAATAAATGGCCTTTTGCGACTGATTCCTTTCATTTACTATATCGTCTCCTAGACTTACATATGTTGTCATGTTGTGGCATATTTACTTGTTTATTCTTTTATTTATGAGACAAGATATCATTGTGTAGTTCAGGCTGGCCTTGAACTTAGTGTAGCCTAGGCTGGCCTCAAATTCACAGTCATTGTCTTGCTTCAGCCTCCCAAGTGCTGGGATTATAGACACAAGCATTTCATTTTTAATGACCAAATAATATCTTATTGTATGGATATACCATGATTTGTTTACCCATTCTTAAATTGATGGACACTGGATTATTTTCATTTTTGGGGTATTTTTAACCTGTCAGCATTTGTGCACAAAGGTTTTTTTGGAGGGTGTGGGTACATATTTTTACTTAAGTGTATACTTAGGAACATAGTTCCTAAGCAAATGTTGACTGTAGGTTTCATACTTTGAGGAACTTTCAGGCTGTTTTCTAAAGTGAATGCATCATTTACATCCCTTTCAGCTGTGAATAGGGATTCCAGTTTTTCCACATCCTTGCTCAGATGAGTTCATTTGCTTATCTGTCTGCTGTCCCTCTTTTTCCCTGTGTCTGTCTCTTTCCTTTAATTTTAACCATTATAGTGAATGTGAGTGGTATCTCATTGTGACTGATTTGTAGTTATCTGGTGCCATTGATATTGAGCATTTTTTCACATACTTTGGCTGTCATAATCTGTTTTAGAGAAATCTGTTTTCAAATCCTGTGGCCATATTTTGCTGGATTGAGCTTTAAAGGTTCTTTAGATACATGTCTTTTAACTGAAATTTGATTCATCAGTTTCTTCCATTCTGAGTTACTGTAAATTCTCATTTTATCTGCATTTGTCTTTGGAGATGAGTGTGTCATTCACCATTGTATCAATTTTATATATAGTATGTCAAAATAGCAGAAACAGTAAATGGTCTTTTTATTATAAAGGAATAAAACAATAAAGACACAGTAAAATGATGAGAATGACATTGGACTTCAAAAACAAAGACAATAGAAATGCACAATAGTTCCTATATTGCATTTGTTATCCTCTAAATAGTTGCTCAGATTACTGGCTTTAGGCCTGCAAAGTCAATCAAACAATACAAGTGTTTCTTCACTTCGGTTGCTAACTTCTTAGGCTGTGTTCTTCTGAATCTGCTGGTTTTTTAGGGGGAGGGGATGATTCTTCTCTTGTGGTCTGTATGCTGGCTGCTTATTGATTCTTCCCCAGTAGACACTTCTGCTGTTGGCTCATAGAGGGGTGTGGTTCCCCTATCTTTCCCCGGCCAGCTTGACAACTGCTGGCTCACAGCGGGGGTTGGGAGTGCAATTCTGTCTTTCATATCCTTGCTCAGATAAGGTAATTTGGAAGTTTGGGCTTACTGAAAATACAGCATCATTTAAGGTCTATTTTTTTATATCAAAATTTAGTGATAAACACATTACTATTTGACTCTGATCTGAAATCTTTAATGAAACTTAGAAATGAAATCTTCATGAGTATTTTCAGAAGACAGGATTTTATAAAGTGTTTGAAAGCTAAAACATCTTTTTTTATTTGATAAGTTGAGAGTATCATGATTTATAATCATTGAGTACCAGATCTTTAAGAATAAATAAAGAATAATGTTATTTTGAAATGAGATATACTAACAAAAATATCCCCACTTAATTGAATATATTTGATCTTGGTCTTTTGTAGTAAACTGCTTTGGGTTTTACCAGCAGATCATTGGTGGCTTTATAAGCCATTTACATTTAGCAGATTCATTGCCCTGTGATTTTCTCTTTTTCTTAATATGAATTTTTTCATATGATTTTCTTTTCTTTTTTTTTTTTTGTGGTATTGAGGATTGAACTCACAATCTTGTGCTTGCCAGGTAGGTGCCTGTGCCACTGAGCTAAGCCCCCAGCCCTTTCTTATGACTTTGTTTAGAGAAAAATTATAGGTTAAGTATATGGTAGAAGAAGTATCATGATAAAGTCTAATTAAACATACTTTTTGTGATTTATTTCTAATTTCTGATGGGGAAGATAAGTACCTATAGATTTTTCTTTGTATTTAAAACATAGACTAAAGAAATAAGCTGGAAATAAAGATAGTGTGGAGAACATTTTGATACTTAGGATTTATGCATTAAGATAAAAGTTTCAATAGTGTGATAAAAAACTGTCTAATATTAATATGATCCAAAGATAATTAATGCTTTTAAATTATATTTTTGTGGGCCAGGGATTTAGCTCATCAGGCATAAATGCCTGCCTGGCAAGTGCAAGGTCAAGAGTTTGATCCCTGATATCAAAAAAAATGATTCTGAATAATCTAGTTTTAAAATTTTTATTGTAAATTTACAATATAGAATTATATATTTATGGATACATAGTGATGTTCTGATTATGAATACAGTGTGGAATAATTAAATCAAGCTAGTTGATAATATCTATCTCCTTAAATAGTTAACATTTTTTATGGTTAGAATACTTAAAATTTGCCCAAGCATAGTGGTACATGCCTGTAATACCAGCTCTCAAGGAACTGAAGGAAGAGGATTGCTATGAATTTGAGGCAACAAAGACTACAAAGTGAATTTAAGACCAGTCTGAACTGCATAGTGAAACCTTATCTCAAAAAGTACTCCTCCCAAATATAAAATACTTAAAATTTACTCTTAGCAATTTTAAAAATAGTACTGTATTATGAGCTATAGTTCGTAGGCCTCAAGAAAAAATCATCTTGCTACTAATCTAAAATTTTAAGATATGATCTAGTACTTTACATACTGTAATCCTGCTATGGCAACTTAGTGTAATTTTTGAAATTGTACTTTAATGTTAACTTTTCTAGGTGGATATTCCATCTATTATAACCAAGAAACTCTTGAAAGCGGCAATGAAGCATATAGAAGTAATAGTTAAAGCCAGACAGAAAGGTAATACAGTTTTCTAGTACAGTTTGTGTATTTACCTACTGAAGAGTGTCTTGATTGCCTCCAGTTTTTACCAGTTATAAATAAAGCTTCTATAGATATTTGTGTACAGAATTTTTATGCGGGAAAATATTTATTTATGCAGTATAGTCAGTTGAACCCACAGCCTTGTACATCCTAGATGACTTTTAAAATTCTGGTTTAACTAAATAAATTTTATTTTATTGTTACACACTTCTTAACTAGACAACAATTCTATCAATGAGTGGTACCTCAAGCCCACAAAATGTATCTTTTAATACATTTTAAATTTTGTTCTAGCTGGGTGTAATTGCGCACGCTTGAAATTCCAGCGCCTGGGAAGCTGAGGCAAGAGGATTGCAGCAAGTTTGAGGCCAGCGCAGGCTGTGAAGTGAGTTCATTTCCAGCCTAAACTGCATAGCAAAACCCTGTCTCCAAAAAAATTTTTTTGTTCCAAAGAAAAGAAACAAAGCAAAATAAAATAACAGGCTTATACTAAATGGAGCCATTTTTAGAAAATTCATAAGTTTAATAAAATACTCTCATTTTCTCTGAGAGTGATATTATATAATAGAAACAGTTGGAAATTTTTGGTTGAATCTTTGTAAGAAAGGGGTTGCTATCATTCATGTCAAAAATCATCCTCAGTTATAAACCATTGTGAAATCCAAATTAAATTCATTAATAGCGCTATAATTAATTAAATTCATAGAACTAAATGACCAGAGAATTAAAGGGCTAATTTTATCCAAAGATTCCACTGTTATACATGAATTAGGTAGGTTTGTGGAAAAGATTTTCAACTTTTTTATTTTTAATTTATGAACTTGTTTTCTGAATTCTTCAGTCTCATAAGAATGTACCATTTAGGAAATAAAAAGCTCCCCTCTTCATCTTTACTGAGAATTCTCTTCTTAATTTGCCTCTTGAGAATAAGGATTATGTAGAAGTTTTCTGTGCATATAAATCTTTTCCAAGGCTCTAAGAAAAGTTGAGTATAAATGAAGCATTTTTTGTTTTTTGAGACAGGGTTTCACTGTGTAATTCAGGCAGGTCTTGAACTCACTATGTAGCACAGGCTGGCCTCAAATTTGTGGCAGTCTGCCTGCCTCAGCCTCCCAAGTGCTAGGATTATAGGTGTGCACCAGGCCCCGCTGATTAGAGGGTGTGAATCCATGTCCTGTGTGCCACTACTCTGTTTTACTTATATATCCATTGGATCCTCCGACCCCATATGACTTTAAAAATGTTTTGCCTGATCTGTTTCATTTGTTATTACCTAGGGCCAAAAATATTTCACATTTGGTAGATACTAAGTAGGTTCCAGTGCCATGATTTAATTTACACTATGTGAATGCTTAATTACATCAAACATTACAGTTGTTTACATATTTTATATGATGTTAAAAACTGATAACTACTGATACAAACTCTGAAGCACAAATGAATTACATCAGTTCAAAATTATGTCAGTACAGAAACAGATCTGGGACTTGGCACATTGTAGTCTTCCGATTTTATTTTAGTTTTGCTTTTGCAGTGCTGTGTATTGAACCCAGCCCTCATACACGATAGGCAAGCACTCTACCACTTAGCTATATTTCTGCTACTTCTGATTTTACACCTGTTCTCATGAAGAAAGTTTTAAAAGATCCATGTCCCAAATTCTTGGGGAGGACAAAACCTGCAAATGATTTAAAATTCATTTCTTCTAAGAACTGTTCTTTGGCAATCCTGCTTTAGTACCTCAGGGACTGAGAGAGTCTGTCATGTTAGTGTTCAAATGTTTCCAATTTTATAGCTATGCCTGGTATCACAGGTGTGTAATCTCCGCATTCTGAGAGGCTAGGCCGGAGGGTTGCAACTTTCAGCCCAGCGTGGGCCACTTACAACTTGGTGAGACTCTGTCTCAAATTAAAAATGGACTAGAGGGATGTAGCTAGTGAGAAGTTTAATCCCCAGTACTAGGGGAAAAAAAAACTTCCAAGTGTCTGACTTTGGAGCATTTCAGATTTTGAATTTTTGGATTAGGAGTATATGGCCAGTATTTAAAGTTTGAGCTTGGCATAGTGGCAAATATCTCTAATGACAGTGCTTGGGAGACTGAGGCAGAAGGATCATCATGAATACGAAGGCACAGGAGGTTACATAGTGAATTCAAAGCTAGTATGAATCATGGAGGAGTGGGCACTATCACAAATGAAAAAAAAAAGTGAAAACATTGCTTTGGAACCTGATCTTAAAAAACCAAAACCAAAACAAAACCTTTTTAGTAATATAACTTTTATTAGAAGTTAATATTTATGAAGAAATCTGTATGTTCCTGGACTTCTACCATTTAATTTTAGACCTCTTAGTGATCTGTGCTATGTTTAAAGATACAAAACTTCACAAAGAAGACAGATTCTATTAACTATTCTAAAATAATTAATGAATTTGATGTAAAACCAGGTCAGTTAGAAATTGAGTAGCATAATTATTGTTTTGTAGAGGGCGAACAAGATATAACATTTGATAATAAAAACCATGTGTGTGCATTTTCTATGTGGTTTTTCTACTCAGTTATTTTCCATTAGGAGTGGTAGCTCACAGATGTAATCCACCAATCTGAGAAGTTGAGGCAGTAGTACTGCAAGCTTGAGCCTAGCATGAGCAACTTAGTGATTTAGCGAGACATTGTCTCAAAATAAAAAATAAAGGGGAGTGGTAATGTAGCTCAGTGGGAAGGCTGAGGTAGATCATTTGGTATTATTTAATTTGTAGAGATCCTGTCCCTGGGGAGAAGGGCCTCATACCAATTTACTGCAAATAAGCAAGTTTTCCAAAAAGAGGAATTTGTCTTTATATTCTGTTTATGAAAAACTTCCCTAAAGAGTACATACTGAAAAGAGCAGTGACTGAGAAAGGACTGACTATGGTAGATGCTATTTTATTTGTTAGTGAAATGGCTGAAATTATTTATTGTCTCAACTTGTTTCAATTTTTCACTTTTTTAAAATCTTATAGTAAAAAATACAGAGTTTTTACAACATGCTGCTTTAGAAGAATATGGTCCAGAGCTTCATGTGGCTTTGAGAAGTCGAAGAGATGAATTACACTATTTAAGGAAACTCACTGAATTGCTTTTTCCTTATATTTTGCCTCCTAAAGCAACAGACTGCAGGTACAAACAAATTAAGAAATATCATAGTTTATTTGTATCCCATGCTATATTTATATTGCTGTTCTTGATCATAATATTCTTGATTATGTAAAACTTAGTGTTATTCTGTGTTGCAAAGTTTTTCATTCAAACAAAATGATTTTATCAGTTCTTAAAATGTCATTTATTTACTTACTTAAGGACAGGGTCTCACTATGTTGTTCAGGCTGCCCTTGAACTCACTTTGTAGCCCAGTCTGACCTAGAACTAACTGATCCTCCTGTGTTAGCCTCCTGAAGTTTTGGATTACAGGTATGCCCTATCACACCCCATTTAAAACGCCAATTTAAATGCTAAGTTATAATGATATATTGTATTGTGTAGAATTTTTTCTTGAAACCTGATCTGTAATCCATAAACAAATGTGAGTAAAATTGATTTCCTTATTTGAGATCATTATATTTTATTTCCTCTATGTTCCTTTTTCAAAACATACACATTATGACATGTACAAGACAGACTCCTCTTATTACCCCTTCAAGGGAAGTCCCTGGATTCAATCTCTAGTACTGCAAAAGACAAACAAAAAATAACCTCCAGGAGGTATTTAAATGCTTGGTGTACTCCGTTGCTTTATGTTTCATTTTAAATTGAGCATAAGAGAGTGCAGTATTTGTTGTAAGTCTGTCTATGCTTTTATCTAGAGTCCTGTTGCCATTTTTATCTTAAGTGAAATTATTGTCTCCAAGAAAGCATTGCTACAATTTTTTATAACAGATTGAGTTGTAGTATACTATTGATCATCAAAAATACTCTTGTAGCATTGGAATTTTGAATTGGTGACTATTCATGATGTGTAGAAAAGCATGACACATACTGTCTTGCTTTTTCTGTGTGACAATCTCAGTCTCAGAAAACGTTATGTGTATATGTGGAACCTAGAGAGACATACCCAACTAAGTTGCTTATTACTGTGAATGACTTTGTTTTTTGTGCTTTTGTTTCCTGTAGAGCACATATTAACTTTTAAGAAATAAATCTAAAACTTAAAAAGAAAATGATCTGTATTTTAGGTTAATTTGTAATATTATTTAAATATTACAGAGTAGTTGCATTATACTATTAAAATTTTAGTCTTAAACATTATGTTAAAATGTATTAAGTATTTTAAATATTTCTAGGCAGAGCTAGGCATGGTGGTACACACCTGTGATCCTAGCACTCAGGAAATTGAGGCAGGAGGATAGCAGATTTGAGGTCAGCCTGGGGTATATTGTGAGACTTTGTCTCTGAGAAACAAACAAAAATAAAATATTTCTAGGGAGGAATCATTTTTCTAATGTCTGAAGCTGTTGGTTTTTTTTTTCTTTTGGTACTGGGGATCAAACTCGTGACCTCGCGTTTGCCAGGCAGGCGCATGTGCCACTGAACTAAATTCCCATCCCCACAAGCTCCTCTTTTAAGTGAATACTTTTTTTTCTGTTAAATAATAGTCTTTTTGGCCAAGCAAGAACTTCTAAGTTCACATCTATGAAACCAATAACATGGGAATCACCTGAGAATATGAGGGAAATGTAGACTGTTGGGCTCATCCCAGATCAACAGCATTATGATATACATTTTAACGGGGTTTTTAGATAATTCATGTCTAGTTGGAAATTAAGAACAAATATAAATTAGTAAACATATACAATTATTATTTCTTTTTTCCAGATCCCTGACCTTACTTATAAGAGAGATCTTATCTGGTTCTGTGTTTCTTCCTTCTTTGGATTTTCTAGCTGATCCAGTAAGACTTTTTATAAAAAATTCTTTTCATAATAAAACACCAAACGCAAAATTACTTTCTTAAACATTTGTATGTGTACAGTTAAGTAGTATTAAATACATTCTTTTTGTTGTGTGACAGTCATTACCACCCTTCTCCAGAACTTTTTATTTTACAAACTAAAACTCTAGATCTATTAAACAATGATTTGTCATTCCTTCCTTCATCCCCTGGCAGCTTTCTATGATATTTATGACTTTTTATGATTTTGGCCACTCCAGCACCTCATGTAATTGGACTTGTGTAGTACTTGTCTTTTTGTGTTTGGGTTATTTTGTTTAACATAATATCCTCAAGGTTCTGTGTTATACTGTGTCTTAGAATTTCCTCCTTTTTTAAGACTAAGAGTCTGGGGTGTGTGTGTGTGTCTGTCTGTGTATTTGTATATTACTTATCAATTTGTCCATCATTGCCCATTTAAGATTCTCCATCTTTGATCCAGTAGAATTTAAAAGAATTAAGAATGATTAATAAACATTTGAAATGCCAAAATCTGAATAGCTTTTCTTTGCCCATTTTTGTAAAAGTAATACGTACATACATATAGAACTTTAACCATTGCATTTTTCTAGAGAATTTGATAATGTAAAAGTTATGGGCAGAATGTAGTGATGGAATTTTTTGACCTGTGTTTATTATTTTCACTAGGATACTGTCAATCATTTGCTTCTCATCTTCATAGATGATAGTCCAGTGAGTATCAAACATTTAGAAAATGTTTCACATTTCACTGCATTTTGATTCTGCGTGTCAAATCAAATGAGGATGTGACTAAGATAATAATTCTGTTTCTTCAAAGCCTGAAAAAGCAACTGAACCACCTTCCCCATTAGTTCCATTCTTGCAGAAGTTTGCAGAACCTAGAAATAAAAAGCCATCTGTGAGTATGTTTAGCATTATCATTATTTTTCTGTATAAACAATTCAGAACACATTTTTGTAGCTTTAACTTACTCTTCTTCCATATTGTATCAAGGTGCTCAAGTTAGAATTGAAGCAAATCAGAGAACAACAAGATCTTTTATTTCGTTTTATGAACTTTTTGAAACAAGAAGGAGCAGTCCACGTGTTGCAGTTTTGTCTGACTGTTGGTGAGGCTTCTGTATTTTATTAAAGTTTCTTTACAAATTTTGAGTGATCTGATATTATAGGAGCCATCTTCGTGTTAGTCTAAAAGCAACTATTAGTTTCTCCCAAGTGCTCACTTCTTTTCAGATTGGAAGATAATATATAACCAGTGGTAGTTAAACTTTAGAAGCAAAAGAAGCTACTAAAATTCAGTACAATATAGATATGTTAAAGACCCCATTAGTAGTACAAATCACTACTACTTTATCATAGTTTTTGTTATGGATTATTTTATTTTATTTTATTTTATTTTTTGGGGGGGTTACTGGAGATTGAACTCATGACCTTGTGCTTGCCAGGCAGATGCTTATGCTACTGAGCTAAATCCCTGGCTTTATGAGTTATTTTAAAATATTTTATTTTTATTAGACTCAATATGGATATTGAATTTGTAAGATTGTTTTATAGACTGTATTTTCTTAATGCATTTAATTCCTTATTAAAATACAATTTAAAAATTGAGGTACAATTTATATAGTGAAACATGGAATTTAAATGTACACTGGATCCATTTTACACAAGTATACATCCTTGTAACCTGTATCTTTATCAAGAGAGAAAACATTTTCCATCATTGAAAATTTCTTTCACTAGGATACTATGAATCATTTGCTTATCAGATTATTAATGTCCTTGCCAAGAAATCCATCTCAATCCCCACTCTTAGCAAAGCAATTAAAACTAGTTTCATTTGTCTCACCAAAGATGACATTGCTTGTACAATTTGCTTGTGTAAATGCAGTCACATAATATCTACTCTTCCGCTTAGCTTCATCTACTCAGGATAATGCTTTGTATGATTCATCGTGGTTGTTGTGTAGATCAGAAGATTGTTCTTTTTATTGCTGTGTAGTTTTTCATTGTATGTATACACCACATCTTCTTTACTCAGTTCTCCCTGAAGATGAGTAAGTGGACTGCTTCCACTTCAGAGCGACTTTGGATAAAGCTGTCATGAATATTCTTGTGGAAGGCTTTTGGTCGGCATATATTTAATAATTGATGTACAGTTGCTGGCTGTAAGATAGAGATACATTTAATGCTGAATTGTTTCTCAAAATGGTTGTACTATTTTTATTCTCCAAGAAATAATATGAAAGCTGTGATTGCTCTACATCGTCACCAGAATGTGGTACTATTTATCTTTTAAATTTTGGCCATTTTAGTAGATGATATCTTCTTACGGCTTTAATTTGCATTTTTCTAATGATTAATCTTTTATCTTTTATTTTTTTGTTTTTTTCTTTCTTTTTTTTTTTTATCGGTACCGGGGGTCGAACTTACGACTGCCTGCTTGTAAGGCAGGCGCTTATGCCGCTAAGCTAAATCCCCAGCCCCTTACAGATTATGTTTTTAAAATACATAATGATAACATCATAGGAGATTTGTACCTGTACATAGTATATCTATCTTCTGGGCTGGGGATTTAGCTCAGTGGCATAGTGCTTGCCTGGCAAGTGTGAGTTCAATCCTGGTACAAAAAAAAATTTTGAAATGTAAAATATGTCTTGCTTCTTTTTTCCCCATTTGCCTACTTTCCCTTCAACCTTTTTTCCCTTCCGTATTTACAAAAGTTTTGTTTCTATTTTTTCCTTCTATTCTTTTCTTTCCCCTTCCTTTCTTTCATCTTCTTCCCACCATTGTTTCCCTTCTCATTTGAACATTTTCTGTTTCCCAGTATCATCTGTTCTATATTTTAGTCCATATTTATGCTTTTGGTTTCACCAGAGAAACTGTGTGAATCTAATTTATTTCACTTTGGAATATGGTCTCAAGGGGCTGGGGATTTAGCTCAGTGGCATATAAGCACTTGCCTTGCAAGTGTGTGGTCATGACTTCGATCACCGGTACCAATAAAAAAGAAAAATACACACAAAAAAAAGAAAGAATATGGTCTCAAGCTATATTCATTTACTTAGAATTGTCTCAAGCTTATTCTTTAAGGCTGAGTAGCACTCTATTGTATAAAAATCCCACATGCATTAGATGGTTAGATCCAAAAGATAATCATTCATTCGTTAATAGACATTTGAACTATTTTCCAAATTTAGCTATTATAAACTGCCACATGGATGTGCATATATTGCTGTGGGATGATGCTTTTTATTCTTTTGGGAAGATACAAGAAGGGGAATAAGAATAGCTGAATCACATAGGAATCACCACCCTAATTTCCATAGTGGTTGTACCAGTCTACATTCCCACCAACAGTGGAAAAGTGTTCCTTTACCCCCACTCCCTGCCAGCATTTGTTATTTGTTGATTTCCTGATAATAGCCATTCTTTCTGGCATGAGATGGAATCTCAGCATTATTTTACTTTGCATTTCTCAGATGACCAATGATGTTGAACATTTTTTTCATGTATTTGCCATTTGTACTTCTTCATCTGAGAAGTATCTATTTAAGATGCCATTTTTGAATTAGATCTTTAAATTTGGGAAGTCTGATAATTTTGAGTTCTTTATACATTCTAGATACAGTAATCCTTAGTCTGAGGAACAGCTGGCAAAAGTTTCCCCCACAGTGTAGCTTGGCTGTTTACTCTCCTCTTGCTGTGGAAAACCTTTTTGGTAAGATGAGATTCTAGTTGTTATTTCTTTTTGACAGTTTCTATGTGATCATAGGGTTTTTTGTTCATAGATTTTGCCTACACCAATGTCTTCAAGAGTTTTATCTATTCTATGTTCCTTTGTTTTTCTATTTTATTATTTAGATCTTTGATTCATTTCTGTTTTAGTTTAGTACATGGTAAAAGATATGGGTCTCGTTTTAATCTTTGGAATGTGGAAGTTCAGTTTTTCCAGCACCACTGGCTTCTTTTTATCCCGTGGAAAGCCTATCTTTCTCCCGGTGAACGTGTTTGACTCCTTTGTCAAAAAGTAACTAACAGTGTTTGGAGTTGTTTCTGCGTCTTCTAATCTGTTTTGTTGATATTTGGGTCTGTTTTTTAGCCAGTACCACCCTTTTTTTTAAATCACAGTTTCTTTATAGTACAGTTTCAAGTCAGCAATTGTGATGCTCCCTGCCTTGCCGTTTTTGCCCAGAATTGCTTTTGGGCCTCTGGGTCTCTTTTGGTTTCAGATGAATTTTAGAGTAGTTTGCTCTAATTGTATGAGATGTACTGTTGGAATTTTGATCAGGATTGCAGTAAATCTGTGTGTAGAAGTTTGAAAGTATGCTCATACTATATTGGTTGTTCATATTCAAGAACAAGGTAAATCTTTCCATTTTTTTATTTTTTAATTTCCTTTTTTTAGTATTGTAGTTTTCACTGTAGAGTTACTAACTTTGTTACATTGGTTCCTACGCATTAAATTTTTTTTTTTTTTTATACTATAGTGAGAAGTGTTGTTTTCCTAGTTTCTCAGTATTTTGTTATTGGTGTACAGGAAGGCTACTGATTTTTGAATATTGATTTTGTATCCAGCTACATTACTGAATTTCATTACTGAATGTAGAAGTCTTTTGGAGGAGTTTTTGGAGGTCTATAGAGTATCATGTCATCCACAAATAATGATAATTTAACTTCTTTCCAGGGTATTACTTGCTTTCAGGAATGAGTTTGGGAGTATTGCTTCCCTTTAAACTTCATTAAAGGGTTTGAGAAGTAACAAAATTAGGTCTTCTTCTCTAAGTCTCTTGTAGAATTCATCAGTTGAACTGTTATGGTTTGGGCCTTTCTTTGTTGGTAGGTTCTCAAGTACATCTTTGATTTTATTGACTATGTTGGTTTAGTTAGAATTTCTTTATGTTTTTAATGCAGCTTTGGAATTCATAATGTGTCTAGGAATCTCCCTATTTTTTCTATCTTTTCCATCTTATGGGAGTATGAGAATGTAAGTTCTCAAACTAGATATGATCTTTTGGATTTCTGCAGTCTGTTGTGATTTCACATTTTTCATTTCTTTTTTTTAATATTTTAAAAATTTTATTTAAGGAGAAAACAAAAAGGGTTCAAGTTATACAGAATTTCAGAAAAAAATAAACAGTAGAAAATCACTAGTTAATAGATTACATATTGCTATCTTAGAAATAGTTGTTCAAATTACAAAATTAAAGCATATAAAGTGGACCTTCAAACAGTGAGATGGCAAACAATTTTGTTCAGTGATCCAACAAAACTCAGTAATATGGTTATCTATCTTATACACTTAAATATATATGCAGTTATATCCTTTAGAGCACTTTCTTTTCTTTTTTACAATGACAATTACACATTTTGGGTTTTATTACTCCTACAGTTCTTATTACTTTTTTTGAAGAGAGTAAAACCAAATGTGACATATCAGAACAGAGTCAGTCAAATCAAAAGGATGGACATAATATAATGTATAAACAAAATACAAGGTGATCAACAATGGTTACCATACTGCTTCTTGCTATCTTAAGAAGAGTTGCCTATATCATCAGTTATAATAAAATTGAACAAAACAGTAAAGAATAAAACCAAAACATTGGAGACATTAGAGGACTTCAAAAGAAGATAATAGTAAACCAGAATGGGCGTCATAATGAATCTTACTGTCTTCACAGTTGTTGCCTATACTTTCGAACTTGGTACTATAAAGCAAAGCAGAATAGGGCAAAATCAGTCAAAACAAGATGGTGAGAGTAATACAGGGTTTCAAATCAAGTTAATAGGAAATCAAAGTAGGTTACTATAATGTATCCTGCTATTTTTTATTTATTTTTCCCTTAATTAAAGAGATAAAAATAAAAAAGTAAGTAATTAAAAAAAAGGAGATTGAGATAAAAGAGGGCATAGCAACAAGACAGTGCAGGTCAGAACATAACCATTTAAGCAAAATAGTGTTTCACCACACAATATCCTGACATAAGAGTAGTTACCATAGTGTCTCTTTCCTTGAAATCTTTGAGTATAACTTTGTATACTGTAGCACCAAACATAGCGAGTCAATGTAAAACCATTCAAGAGAATGACAGTATTACAGGGTATTTAG